TGGAAGGCTTAGCGAAAAAAGGAAGAAAACAGAAATCTGTAGACACCTTATTATTTATATCACAAACTGTGATGATTTCCAGTGTCAAATCTCAGCCCTTGGGATGTAACTGTGTGGTGGGAACTTTTTCCTGTTAACCCAAGTATATCTGTCCCATGCCACTGGCACCAGGTTATATATCTACTGTGTCGTGATACCCATATACGTTCAATGAGTCTTGTGGTCCAGGGCCCTCTAGAGAGTGAAAGAGGATGCTGTTCACAATTAAGTGAAACAATTACTCTAAAGCAGGTCTGTCCTGGGGGAACTTCCCAGTCACCCTCGTGAGTACCGGTCACCCACCCTAGTGACCACATGCTTTTACAGGAGGAGTGAGTACTTGGAGCTGGACGGCGATCAGAAGTGTCTACCTGGCTTCTTGGCTTGGCCCCCAAGTCCTCCAGTGCCTAACCCAGCCTTTCCTGTCTTGTAAGAATTCTCTGCCCTGCCAGACCACCCCACACCGTGCTCTCTGGTGTTTCCGGCTCCTCGCCTTGCTCCCAGGTTCTCCCTCCCTGCAGTAGCTTTCTTCCTCTGCCTCGTCTGTCTGAAGATGACTCATCTTTCCAGCCCCAGCATTCCGGCTCATCCTGGCTTTGCTTGGCTTTTGCCTCCTGGCCCTTGGCCACTATCACTGGGCCGAGCTCTATGTGTTGGACAGTAAATGCTCCATAATTATTGATTGTGAAAGGCAGAGACAACTGGGCCACTTTGGAAGGCTGGTCCTCACTTCCTTGCAGAGTGGTCTCCAGGGGCAGCTGGCAGAGGCAGACACACAGCACTGACCAACTGGGACGGACACCTCCTATTTCCCTAACAGTGTGGGACACCACAGCACAGCAAAGTTTCATCCTGGCTGCCTTCAGAATGTTGCATGATCTCCAGGGCCTTCAAGCTAAACCTTCAGGAAAGATGACTTTCTTATACCACAGCTATAAAGAATGTTTAGACCAGCCATTGTCTAAAAGAACTATAACGAGAGTTACATATGTTATTTTAAATTTTTCAGTAACTACATTCAAAAACACAAAACAAACTATTAATTTTAAGAATATATTTATTTAACCCAAGAGATCCAATATATTTCCATTTCAGCATGTAATCAATATTTTTAAATTATCAAGAGATATACATTAATTTTTCATATTAAGTCTTTGAAATCTGGTGTGATTTTATGCTTATGTCTCCATTAACCACATTTTAAGTGCTCAATGCTCCATATGGCTAGTGGCTACTGTACTGGACAGCACAGATCTAGGTGTACATGTTGCTCAAATCACATTTCATTATACTGTGTGGCATTCCTTACTTTTTTATCACTATTATAAAGTTTTTAAAAAATTGTCTTTGAATTGTGTCAGTCTTTAGGAAATATACCTGAATACGATGTGTGTTGGGACTAGATAGGAGTTTGGCTACTTTTTTTTTTTTAACTTTTTTGTTTACAAAAGTTAACCTTGATTTCATTCATGTGTTTGTTCATTCTACAAGTGTACCAAGTACATGGGGATTTATTAAACATACAATAAGGGGGTCTTTGTGTATCAAAGATTCATCATGCCCTTGAAAATGAAACTCACCAAATAAAACATCAACTTTTTTGTACTGAGTACCTACCATGTGCCAAGGACTGTGTTAGGTCCCAAATAGCCTGTAACAAGAGAGACAAAAATTCTTGAGTAGGAGAAGATAAAAAAATTGTGCGTATGTGTATTCAGATGATACTAGGTTTATGTAGAAATATAAGGCAGGGAAGGGAGGTGGGGATAACAAGGACTTAGGGGAGTGAGAGAAATACAACTTTGTTTTTTTCCTGAGATAGAATCTTACTCTGTTGCCCTGGCTAGAGAGCAGTGGCATCATCATAGCTCATTGCATCCTCAAACTCCTGGGCTCCAGTGATCTTCCTGCATCATCCTCCCGAGTAGGGAGCCAGACTCCAAAGGCCTTAGGTTTTCATTCACCCGATAGCCCTGTTCTCCCCTCCTTTCCTCCACAGAGCAGGGAGTGGGAGGGATAGAAGCGGGGAGGAAAGAAAAGGAAGCAAGATCTGGAGCAGGAAGAGGCAGCCTAGCCCAGATCCATGGGTCATGACTCCTAACACACTGAAAATGGCAGTGCCTCCCACAGAGGTGCCCTACCCAGGGCGCTGTGAGGCCTGTGGAGTCTGGCTGCTGTCACAAAGAAGAGTCGTGCATCAAAAGTGTACTGACAGGCCGGGCGCGGTGGCTCATGCCTGTAATCCTAGCACTCTGGGAGGCCGAGGTGGGCGGATTGCTCGAGGTCAGGAGTTCGAAATCACCCTGAGCGAGACCCCGTCTCTACTAAAAAATAGAAAGAAATTAATTGACCAACTAAAATATATATATACAAAAAATTAGCCGGGCATGGTGGCGCATGCCTGTAGACCCAGCTACTTGGGAGGCTGAGGCAGGAGGATCACTTGAGCCCAGGAGATTGAGGTTGCTATGAGCTAGGCTGAAGCCATGGCACTCACTCTAGCCTGGGCAACAAAGTGAGACTCTGTCTCAAAAAAAAAAAGTGTACTGACAAGTGACCATCACTGATGACCAGGACATGCCCTCCAGTCCCCCATTCACCTTGTTCTTCTCCATGAATTTTTTTAGAGCCACACAAAACCCAAGGAGCCTCCAACAGGCAAACCAAGGCAGCAGGGCCTGGGAACTTAGGAGTGTGCCACACAGTGCCCTGAAGAAGGGGCAGCTTCCCACCCGAGCAGCATGGAAGGAGACCTTATAAGCCACGTATTTCTTCTTTCCTTAAATCCTGATACATTCCCATATTTTTAGATTAAACATTAGATTTCTTTTTTTTTTTTTTTTGAGACAGAGTCTCGTTTTGTTACCCAGGCTAGAGTGAGTGGCATGGCGTCAGCCTAGCTCACAGCAACCTCTAACTCCTGGGCTCAAGCAATCCTACTGCCTCAGCCTCCCAAGTAGCTGGGACTACAGGCATGCACCACCATGCCTGGCTGATTTTTTCTATATATATTAGTTGGCTAATTGATTTCTTTCTATTTATAGTAGAGATGGGGTCTCGCTCTTGCTTAGGCTGGTTTCCAACTCCTGACCTCCAGCAATCTGCCCGCCTTGGCCTCCCAGAGTGCTAGGATTACAGGCATGAGCCACCGCGCCCGGCCTAAACATTATATTTCTTTTGGCTCTGTACAGCCTTGAAACCACAGACCCTCCTAATGAGCAGTTGCTTGTAAAATAAGGCAGGATGGCCATTGATTCAGATACACGAAGGAGGCAGAATTCTAAATATCAAATCCCTTTAGCAGAAACTTGTTAAAGGTGAAGGCTAAAATGTTTCACAGAGACAAAATCCTGTTGTGTATTTATCAGCCACAGAAATAGCTATGGAAAGTTCCCTGGAAGAAACTCCCATCAGACATCTGGGTTTCTAAAGGCTAATGGCACTTCTTGCAGAATACAACCATTAATATTAATGCTCCATGCTAATTCATTGTCTTGAATTACCAAATTCAAATAAGCATCTATAACTCCTAAAGATATGAAAGTACTTTTAGTTTTCTAAGAATATCAAGTATCTATGTGTTTAACAATTGATCGCTCTGGGGAAATAGGTTAACTTGAAACAATGCATGCAAAAGCATTGTGATATCCAGCTGTCCTCCTGCTTTTCTCCTTGTACATTCCCAAAGAAATCCTATTCATGATGGAAGGCATATTGAAATAAAAAGGGAAGTCCCGGGCCACGCACGGCGGGTCACGCCTGTAATCCTAGCACTCTGGGAGGCCGAGGTAGGCTGATTGCTCAAGGTCAGGAGTTCGAAACCAGCCTGAGCAAGAGTGAGACCCCGTCTCTGCTATAAATACAAAGAAATCAATTGGCCAACTAATATATATAGAAAAAATCAGCCAGGCATGGTGGCACATGCCTGTAGTCCCAGCTACCTGGAGGCTGAGGCAGCAGGATTGCTTGAGCCAAGGAGTTTGAGGTTGCTGTGAGCTAGGCTGACGCCATGGCACTCACTCTAGCCTGGGTAACAAAGCTAGACATTGTCTCAAAAAAAAAAAAAAAAAAAAAAAAGGAAGTGCCACCCAATTTGGATGATGCTAGAATCATTGGGAATGGGGTCCTGGCTGAGAAAAAAAAAAAGAAAACCCTATCTCTAGGTCTGAGAAGGGAAGAATGCAAAACTCGAGTAGGTTCTAGCAACAAGGGTGTTGTGCAGAGAATAGTGATCTTTAGCAAAGGTCCCTTAGGGAGCTCAAGGCACATTAATATATTACAACGCAGTGGGCTTCAGCTCCCACTTCTTCCAACATCCATCCTGTGAGCCAGTGCTCCTCTTCAGGAGAGGAATGAGGGGTGGCGGGACATTATTGTCATGGGGAGAAGGACAGTTCACTGTATGGAGCTGTTCTGTGCACTGCAGGATGTTACACCTTTGACCCCACTCACTAAACGCAAGTAGCACTTTGCAATCACTGACACAAAGACATGCGCAGACCCTCCCTAGAGTAGACATTGCTGCCCCCGTTTGAGAGCTCTACAAGTCTGGGCTATATCAACATGGAGTATCAGATGGACACAGCAGTGGTTGCTGTTAATACTGTGGTTTGCTGCCTGCGTGCATCATGGAAGGAAATGTTTAATTTCAGGCAGTCGTCAGTGAAAATAAAGATAGGATTTTTTTTTTCCATCCAAGTTCACAGCCACCTTGAATTTCTATAGAGGGTCCCCAGGTTAACACCCCTGATACATGCAAGTAAGATGTTCTTGTGATGAGCAGACAAGTGTCAAAACCCCAGGATGGTGGGGACAGCTTCTGAACTCAGCTGCTTCTACCCACTGCCGTCACCTGGGAAGAGTAAGTGTATTGAACTTAAAAGAGACATCGTCTGCTCTTGGCTTGCCTTCTGATATTTCTGATTGTGTGTTCCAGCATTGGACTGTGTTTTGTCTTGCAGACAGCAATAACCTGAACATTGAACAGAATGACTCCTGGGCTTCTGAGAACTTCTGGCTTGACCCTTCTGTGAGAAGCCAATCAGGGACCAAAGACGAAGACGATGGACTTCGCAACTCCCTGGACAGATTCTACGAAACGTTTGGCCATCTGCAGCCAGCCTCTGCATCTGGCAGAGGGAATCCACTCTCTGCATCTGTCTGCCAGTGCCTGTCTCAGAAAATCTCTCAACTGAGAGGCCAGGAGAGCCAAGTGTACGCTCTCCGCAGTTTTCAGATGGCCCGAGTCATCTTCAACCGGGACGGCTGCTCGGTCTTACGGAAGCACTCCAGGGACACCCGCTTCTACCCACTGGAGGAAGGATGTTTGTCTCTGGATGATGAGGAGCCAATTCCAGGACTTTCAAAAGATATTATTAATTTCCTCTTGCAGCAGAATGTGATGAAAGACCCATAGCTGGCACCTGGTGGTGCGGGCAGGCAGTATTGCAGGTGTAGCGCGTGGCAGCCGCTGCTGGTGGGCCACCAGATTCCCCGGGGACTCTTGCCAGCTCCATGTGCCCAATCCCAGCTCAGTGTTTTGTGGTTAAAGGCTGGTACCTGTGATCTGGTGTTGGAGCCAGTCCACCCATACGGAGAGCCAGCAGGCTCTGAGACTTAGGTGTCCCTGTGGCCATCCCACGGCCAACTCCCCTGGGCCCTGGCCACTGACTGACTGGGTTAGGAGTCAAACACCCAGCTTGCTTGCCTCAAAGAAAGACATACCCTGAAGTGCAATTTATGCTCCCTCCCCTCCCCATCAGGCTGAGGCTGGGACTTTACATGAAGGCACACCTTGCTGGGCCTCATTCCTTTCTCCATCCTCCTCCCATCCATTCACTGGTGTGTCCAGGAGCCTTTCTTTAATAAACCTCTTCTATCTGAACCCTTCACTCAGAGCATCCTTCTGGGAGAACCCAACCTACAATAACAGGTTTTTGTGAAATGAGGTTTGGGAAGGGTACAAAGCCGAATCAGGTAAAAGAATGACACGAAGTTGTATAACTGAGGCCAAGGGATTGAGAATGTATGTTCTAAAATAATATAAAGATTTAAATTTGGTTCCAAAAAGTACATCACATCTTAATCATACCGCTGCCTCCTCTCTAATGCCAGAATTCCCCGTTTTATCATACTAACTGGGTGCGGAAGGGACATTTGGACCATCTAAAATAACAGCTCAAAATTCAAGATTTTTTTTAAGTCTCTTTGCCCCCATCAGACTGCAAATGTGAAAGGTGAGAAGAAAACAATTGTGCACCACCCACCAAAGTGTGTGTAAGCACGATACACAATGAGGGTATGGTAGGTTGAGACGATGCAGCCTTGTTTCGATTTGTGGGTGAAGAGAATGAGGAATCCTTTACCCAGGTGGAGTCCTTCTTCTTCTCATTTTTGTTCTCTGCCTGCCTGCTGCCAGCACTCTGTGTCACCCTTTGAGTAGTTGGCCCCTCCCCTATTGCCTTGGTCCTTGCTCCAACACCCTGGGCTCTCACCTGCAGACGCTTGCCCAGGTTGGGGCCTCTCTGCCACCCTGTCCCTGTCCTTCAGGCCTGAGCCCTGCCTTGCCAGGGAGCTCTTGAAATAGCCAGTGCATGCTTGCACTGGCAGATGCTCAGCTCTGCGGGTCGTGTCCTGAACCCCGGTGTCAGACTCAGTTGGAATGACATCAGCTGGCACCAGGCTCTCCAAAAGTGCAATTGGAAACCATGTGCTAATCCCTACCTGGCCAGTCCTCCAAACACATTACATGGGCACAAGGGGTTATTTTGCATGTTGGGGGGAACAACAAGAGAAACTGGCAGCCCCGTGCAATTTAATTGTGAAATTTAATTGGCCTAAGACCCCAGAAGCTTCCCGGAAAACAGGCCATGCAAATGGGTCAGCCTAAAAGTGAACTTAAAAGTGAGCATGCCCTCTCAGGAAGGTCACTTGGGGACTCTTGGACAGAGAGAGGCGCCTTTTAAAGGTTAAGAATGACATACTCAGGCTTCCAGTGTGGGAAGATCCGAGGTAAGAAACAGGGCTCCAAATTGAAATGTAGAGGCGCCCCTGGCAGGAGACCCTGATGCAGTAAATGGGAAATGAGTAGGTCTTTAAGAGACACTTGGGAAAACAAGACTGCAGGTTCTCCTCTGACAAGCAATCTTCTGCATCTTTCTCCATGGGTGTCTTTTAGACAACTGGCCCCCAAATCATTGTGAAACCAGTGAGACTTATCATTTAAAATCTGACAACTAAATGTGAAGGTTGCCAGTTTTATTGTTTTTCTAATGTGAAGTATATTAATAGATACCCTTGAAAAATGCTGTCATTCTTGGTATTATCCACTCACTGAAATATTTGCACCTAGTCTCCATGGCTACCAACAGAATGAAATTGGATTATTTTATACGGTTCGTAAAGGGCAAAAAAATACAAGCTATTTGAATCTCCACATTGAGAAGCAGTAGCTTCTGTTTCGTGGTGAGATTTTAGCACCAGAAATTTTGTAACCCTCATTAATGTTAGTGCTAAGGGTGCTGTCTGCAAGAGGTAAAGTCTGGAAGGCAGAGGATTTAGAAATCTGAAAACCAGAATCACCTTAGGGTAAAAGAGTGTGGTGTGTGTTTACTTGCATTTGAGTAAGTGTTTTTGACAGGTCAGTACAAGATATTTGGTTCCCTGCATCCTCGCTCCTTAATTTGATCTCTGTGAGTGGTTAGGATGGCATTTTCCATTATCTCTGTGAACCTTTAATAAAGACTGAGAGATAAGGATACCAGTCTCAGTCTTTAGCATTATTGTCTCATTCTGCCCTGCAGATAAATTCACCAATATCCTACCATCCTATGAATGTTAAGACTGGCTTATGATATCATCTGTGGCCCTTTTCAGACCTCCTGGGGTCTTTGTGAGGATGGATTTGCCTGCAGAGATATCAGAACTGTAAAGAAAAGAACCGCTGCCAGTGTTTTAAATTTACATTCCATTATTCATTTTGTTAGTCTGTTTCTTTGCATAACCTATGTACAGACACATGTAACAGATCTTATAACTAGTAGTTAGCACAAAACAATACACTTCTACTTTGAAAACTTTTTATTGAATTATAATATTAATTCATTAGAAAAGTGCACATATCATATATATAAGTGAACATCTCAATGATTTTCACAAACTGAACCAACCCCCTTGTGTAACCAGCATCCTGATCAAGCAACAGATATCACTAGCCCTGCCCAGACAGCTGCCTTCTAAGTGGAAATTTTCATCTGGACAACTGATGAGAACAGTTTGCTCTGACCAATGTTTCTCAAACTGCTGGTAGCATATAAAATAATTTTAGATGCTATATGGACAAACAATGTTTATTTCAATTGCTTATTCAGTTTAATGTGTTAGAAAAATATAACTACTACATCTAATCCATGCTTTCACATCTATTACATAGGACAAGTGTATTGTAAGTATTGGAGATTTAAAAGTGGACTGAATTAATGAAAAAATTTAATTAACAGCACAGGTGATGTAGTGCTATGTCAAAAATTATAAAAGTTGTATACCTGAAAATGACTGAAGTTTGGACTTCGGTGGGATAAATAATCCATCCTACCCCGTTAGTTTCCCACCATCTTTCTCCTATAGCACTGCAAGAAACTTTCATCAGGTCAACCTGTATCTATCTACTTTTTGCCTCTCTTACCATGCAGCCATAATACAAATTCTTTTAAAAAGCTAAACATGCATGAATGGCCAGGAAATTAAAAAGAAAGGACTAGGCTTATCCAATGTGAAAATATTTCTAATGTTACAGTAAATTAAAGCAGCAACAAAACAGAAATAGAAAAAGGAAGAGTTCAGTCTATAAATAGATACACATGCATGTGAAAATTGAGTATATGATGAAGGCAGCATTTCAGATCCATAAGGAAAAGGGTGAGTTTTTAGCAGGTGGTCTTCAAGTCATTGGCCCCCCCACACTGGGGGAGACAGTAAAAGTCTTCTTCTTCTTCTTTTTTTTTTTAACAGGGTGAGGCAATCATTTATTTATTGGACAGAGCAAGGTCATTTAGAGAGGAAACATATCCAAAACAATGTGTTTAGCTTGGTGTTATAGGCATCGATGCTCACAACAAACAACACTACTCAATACATCATGGAAACAGACCACGTACAACCAGGAAGATGCTGTCATGCCATTCAGAAATAAGCCACAATGATTAGGAAACAATCATTAGGGAGTTGCAGAGCATAATAGTCTCTAGTTCACTGATCTGCATGTTCTGCAGCTGGGCTATTAGCCCATAGTATTTGCCTGGTTCCTTGGTTAAAAGTGAGTCTTCCTGTATTTGAGAGAGCTCTGATTGGTACACACTTCTAAATGTCACTGAAATCATGTAAACTGCAAGGTTAACTAGATCAAATCACTATATGTTTTGAACTACCCTAGGCAGTAATGGACTTTCATAGTACTGCAAATAAAATTCTGTACTTAGTACATTTAGCAGTGCTATAATGCACCCAAATCACTTTTAGTCCTATGGTACATACTTCAGAAAGACAGCAGAAATTCACTGGAGTCGATTAAAAAGAAATTTATGGAGCTCACTTGGTATATAAGCTGCTAACAAAGGTAGACACACTTGACAACTACTATGTCAATTACCTGCCAAATTATTTGGCATCATTTTTAGCAGGACTTTCTTTCCTGACCAGGCAGGCAAAGATTTCATTAACCATTCTAAAGATTGGCCATTTTTGTTTGTTTGTTTTTTAGAGACGGAGTCTCGCTATGTTGCCCAGGCCGGTCTTGAGCTCCTGGCCTTAAGCGACTCTCCTACCTCAACCTTCTAAATAGCTGGGAGGATAGGTGCAAACCACCACCTCTGGCTTGAGCAAAATATAATATTATGAATGCCTGGCTACAAGGAAAAATTATTCAGCATAAGATTAACTGAGAAACCTGTTAGGTATCTGGCTTTCCCTCCTTAAATCTATTGATTTTACCAACCACTCCCTTTCATAGCAATAAGTGTTCTCAAGATAAGAAGAATTTCTCACTCCACACAGAAAACCTATTTGGGAAGCAAGTCACAAAAGACCGGATGTTATAGAATTCTATTTATATGAAGTGATCACAATAGGCAAACCTACAGAGACAGAAGTAAGATTAGTGGTTGCCAGGGGCTGGAGGGTGGGAGGAAAGAAGAGGTGACTGCTAAGGGGTATGGGGCTTCTTCTTGGGGTAATGTTCTAAAATTGATTGTGGTCATAGTTGCACAACTTTGTGAACATTCTGAAAATCACTGAATTGCACCCTTTAATTGGGTGAATTATAGCTCAATAACATCATCACAAATACATATTAGGAAAGGAAGACAACGCCAAAAAAGAAAACAAGAGGCTCTTCCAAAATCAAGTCATACCTAAGGAAACGGTATACAAGCCTGATGGAAGGAGCATGTTTTTCACACACTATTTTAATCATCGTCACTTTAACCCCTGATTTCATATTTTTAACTCATTTCTAAATCATTTCAGGTTATCAGCAGATGTCTAACTTTGTTCTCATTAGAGAGCAGAGGTAAAACAAAACAAAACTAAACAACAATAAAAATCCAATGACATCTCTGGGAGGCTGAGGTGGGCGGATTGCTCAAGGTCAGGAGTTCAAAACCAGCCTGGGCAAGAGCGAGACCTCGTCTCTACTATAAATAGAAAGAAATTAATTGGCCAACTAATATATATATCAAAAATTAGCCGGGCATGGTGGCGCATGCCTGTAGTCCCAGCTACTCGGGAGGCTGAGGCAGGAGGATCGCTTGAGCCCAGGAGTTTGAGGTTGCTGTGAGCTAGGCTGACGCCACGGCACTCACTCTAGCCTGGACAACAAAGTGAGACTCT